CTCTCTCTCACACACACACACACACACACACTCTCTCTCTCACACACGCACACACTCTCACACACACACACACACACCCACACACACACACACATTAACAATTTATTTAAGTCCACTTAAAATAAATAACTTACAGGGACATAAATATTATAGATGCAGTTAGATACATGTACAAAATAATGGGCCAGTGGCATGCAACAGGTCTTCACAATAAGCATATCACTCCGTTGTTATGGGTATAAATAACAGCGTCTCCACCATATATGACGCCTGCGTATGATAGAGGACAAAGCACAGTACTTTGCTAACTGTTTAGCCCTCTTTTTGGGCATCCCAAGTTGTTGAAGCCCTCTTACAACCAGCCTGTGTGTGTGTCCTAAGCTGCCAAATATAAAAACAAGTAATCGGCCTCTATAATCTCTGAAATGGTATTTAGGTATTTTACACACACTCTTACACACACACACACACACACAATTATCACATGTTCTGAAAAATAAGTCTTACCAGGTAAATTGATTCAAAACATGTAATACTTTCTCAATGACACACACACACCTGCAGCATTATTCACGTGTCTCTCAGGCCGAAAGTCCAACATGGAGGAGGTTCAGGACGAGCTGATGCACAGACTGACTCTGGGCCGAAGCGCTCAGAAGAAGTTCCAGGCTCCATCTCGCTCCAGCAGCCTGCCGGCGGTCAACATCACGTACGACTCCACGCCGGACGATGTGAAAGCCTGGCTGCAGCTCAAAGGCTTCAGCGAAGTGTGAGTGACCCGTTCATCCGCTCTGCTGTAGAGCATCATGGGAGATTAACAGTGATGGTCTGAGCTGATGTGGTTTGGTCTGCAGGACCATCAACAGTCTGGGTGTGCTGACCGGTGCTCAGCTCTTCTCTCTGAACAAAGACGAGCTGAAGACCGTCTGTCCTGATGACGGCGCTCGAGTCTACAGCCAGATCATCGTCCAGAAAGCCGCTCTCGAGGTGAGTCGACTTCCTCCGCTTCTCCTCACAGATCCTTCCTTATTTCTCTCTTCATTCCTCTTTAAACTCTTCTGTCATAGTCCAAATGTCTCGGACCGGATCACATCACACTGTCCGTGCAATTCTGGATCCATCCATAAAATAATACTATAATAGTGCTCCCCGAATTGAATCTGGAGTCTCCAGACAGCTGGTGATAATAATAAATAATTTATAATTTATGCATTTAGCAGACGCTTTTATCCAAAGCGACTTAAAGTGCATTCAGGCTATACATTTTTTACCAGTTTGTGTGTTCCCTGGGAATTTAACCTACGACCTTTTGCGCTGCTAACGCAATGCTCTACCACTGAGCCACAGGAACACTAATAAGGTGATAAGTTGCTCAACTCTGTAGTGTCGCTTTGGTTTTTCTGTGGTGTTTTGCTGTCTGCAGGTTTTCTTCTGACGCTCCCATGATCTTCACATGTAATCCACGTTCCTCTGAAGGTACTTTAGTATCATAGCGAGGCGGCTTTGCTCTGTTTAGTTAACACATCATTCACCGCACATGCACATAACCCGGCTAGGTTGCACCAGTTCTTACTTAAAGGGATAGTTCACAAACCTGTACGAGTTTATTACTTAAAGAATATATTTTGAAGAACGTTGGTATAGAAAGAGTATATTTTGGATTTGATCCCCAACATCCTTCGAAATAATTTCCTTTGTGCTCAACAGAAGATAGAAACTCGTACAGGTTTGAGGGCGAGTAAATTATTTTTGGGTGAACTGTCCCTTTAAATTGGAATATAAAGTCCTCACTTAGCTAGTTCATAACTAACTCTGTACTAATAATAATAATAGTGTCTCTGATAGTGTCAGTGCAGTTAAATCAATAATACAAATTTTTTTTATTGATTTAACTGCACTGCAAATTAAAAAAAATAAAACATAAGCATTTGTAGGGCTGGGCGATAAACCGATAATTATCGCGATATAATTTTCCCTCGATAAAACGATATGAAGAGTTAGAGAAAAGCCAAAAGCGGAACAAATCATTTATACTAAATGTATTTTTCATACAAATACCTAGAAACCATAGTCATTTTTACCATGGTATTGAGGTGCTATATGTGTGGCTTTAACTGTGGTTATCATGATCTAAATGTATGCTAGTATGGAAAACCAATGGTTAATTTTAATAAAACTCAGTCAGAATAATGAAATTTCACTATATAAAAATGAGGTTGTTACAGTTTCTACAGATGTTGCTGTTTTTGATAATGAGCATAAATTTACATCTGCATCCTAACTCAAGCTACTGTCAAATGTATATTTCTAAGAGACAAAATACATAATATTATTAATATTGCAGCTGCACTGCAAACTGTGCTGAAGATACACATCATCAAATTCAGGAACACAAACCTGATTCATGATTTGAAACGGTATCACTCATTAGAACATGCAGATACCAAGAAATGAATTTCTCTGTATTGACATTTATTTTGTTTTTGTTGGAAAAATGACTGGAAAAGTGTAAAGAATTCAAAAACGTGAAGTGTTTGTCATGTTCTGAGCATAAAGAGTCGTTTAAAACCACAATTAACCGTCTGGTTTCTACATCTTTCACTTGAAACTTGAAAGAAATAAAGATTCGAAAATGATCGTGATAATTATCGATATCGGCCGATATGAAAAATGTTATCGTGTGATTTTTTTGGGCCGTATCGCCCAGCCCTACGCATTTGTTTTAATTCGATTGATCTTATGATGCACATCGACTGAAGTCGATGCTCTGACCTGTAAATATTTAGTTTATGCATAGCTACGTTTAATGGTCCAATGCAAAAATATTTAGTAACTTGGTGCACATTTATGCCACAACTAGGTTTAGTTTTAACTTGCATGCAGCTGGTGCAAACGACCCCTGATGATCCTGACACAGAACCGCTCGTTACAGCTCATATTAATATTTCAACAGCTCCATTTATCTGATGGTCTGTATTTCATTGAATCTGTTCGAAATAAAAGCGAGCGCACATTTTAATAGATGCTCGTGTTGTTTAGTGGCTTCTGTCTGCTGTTTCCAGTCTTAGCTAGAGAATAGATGCTTTCCCAGAAGCCCTTAAGCGCCCCTTTACACATCCATCATCGTTAGTTTAGAGCATCTGATGAAGAACCTTCATGAACCTCATCCTCATTCACTCGTTTCTGCTCTTCCTCTCTCTGTCTCTCCAGCTTGTTTAAATGAGTGTTTCGTGAGATGTAGGGCTGGGTTGGAAATACTGATTTCTCGATTTTGATGAACCGATATTGATTCTTAAATCCCAAGAATCGATCTATGCTGTTTTCTGTTAATGCATGAACAAACCTTATTTGTAGCACCTCCCATCCGATAAATCGCAATAAGCTTTGTGCTTAGTTGCATTTGATAGGAAAGTCTCTGCTTTCAAATGTCAAATTTATCGTAAAATTCAAACAATAAATGCTGACAGATCGCTGTAGTGGACCGATTAGCTCTTCCTCTTTACTACTAGTTATAGCAGCAAATAAACATGAATGAACTTCAGAAGAAAATAGAGAAAAGATCTGAGAAAGCAGCATGCATGGTTATCTCACCGCGCAGTGCCAGTGCTCTAAACAAGTGATCGCGACACCTGACCTGATGAATAAGATCAGAATGAACATTTATTTATCTGTATCAAATATGTTATTCATGTTAATGCAGAGAATATGATTAATTGTTTTTAAAAACATTTGCCGGCCCTAAAATGTAGTAAAAATCTGTGTTCTCATGAGAAACTGTAGCTATACTAAGTAGAACGTGGAAGTAGTTGCGCAAGTAGTCCATTATATCAATAAAAAATTATTATAATAAATATTTATTATATAATTTTTGTGCAATTTAAAGGGTTAATTCACCCAAAAATTAAAATTAGCCCACAAATTACTCACCCTCAAGTCATCCTAGGTGTATATGATTTTCTTCTTTCAGACAAATCCAGTCGGAGTTATTTTTAAAATGGTCTTTCAAGCTGTTTAATGCCACTCAGCGGGTGTTGCATGCATCAGTCCAAAAGAAGTTAAATAAAAAGCGCCCATCCATAAATAAAGTGTCTCACACGGCTCCGGGTGGTGAACAAAGGCCTCCTGTAGCGAATCGATGAGTTTTTGTAAGAAAAATATCCATATTCAAAACGTAATAATCACTTGAATCTAGCTTGTGCTCACTGTTGTACACGGAAGCAGCTCCGGGCGGATGATGTATGAGGTCAGCGTTGTGCATGCTCCGCTCAGAAGTGACGAACACGGAAACCCAGCGGAAAGATCAAAACAAAACACCGGTCACTTATTAGAAGTACAAAACGAGGATTTGTAAAGAAGAATGTCGGGAGGATTTGGATATAAGCCAAGAGGAGACTGGTTTTTCTTTGCTAAAGTAAGGAAAGTTTGCTTCCTTTGCTCCTGTTAACAAACGGTGGTTTTCACGAGACTCACCGGCGCATGCGCAGCGCCGACCTCATACGTCATCCGCCCGGAGCTGCTTCTGTGTACAACTGCTGGCGCAAGCTACATTAAAGTGATTATTACGTTTTGAATATGGATATTTTTCTTACAAAAACGCATCGATTCGCTACAGGAGGCCTTTGTTCACCACCCGGAGCCGTGTGAGACACTTTTTTTATGGATGGGCGCTTTTTATTTAACTTCTTTTGGACTGAAGCATGAAAGATCAAAGACAATTTTTTATATAACTCCAACTGGATTCGTCTGAAAGAAGAAACTCATATACACCTAGGATGACTTGAGGGCGAGTAATTTGTGGGCTAATTTAAATTTTTGGGTGAACTAACCCTTTAAATATTTGATTACAAATCACTTTAAGGTGATGTGCTGACTGACAGGGTTTATTCAATAGTTTTTACAGCATTAGTTGAGAAAGATTTTTTTTTCCTTGGGGAAAAAAAAGTGACGTACTGTACCTGATTGCCTATATATCCAAAGGAATCAATACATAGAATCGAATTGCAAGCTTGTGAATCGAAATCGTGAAATTTGTCTCAATCCCCAGCCCTAGCGAGGTGTTTCTGAGTGTCTCACTGTGTTCTGTCTGTGTCTGTAGAGGAGCTCTGGCTCGGAGCTACAGGAGATCATGAGGAGGCGGCAGGAGAAGCTGGCGGTGGCGGCGAGCGATTCCGGCGTGGAGTCCTTCGACGAGGGGAGCAACCACTGACCCCTCACTCACCTCTGTCACCTCTGACCTTTTACAGGACGCCGTGGAGCGCGCTCAGTTTGCCGCCATAATGCGCCGTCGTCAGGAACTCTTGGACCCGTCCGATAACGGAACCGGATCGGACGCGGACGAACGAGCGTGACGAGACGCGAGAGGCTTTTTGTAGACATGTGAACGTTGCTGCGGCGTTCTCTGTAGGTTCCTGTGAGAACATCAGAGCAGTATGTAGTCTAGTGCCATCGAGTTCTGCCTTCATAGTCCAACATCCTAAAAACATTCACATTTATATGCAATCATTTACTGCTCGGACAGAAAACCTGTGTAAATACTCCCACACGATTGGCTGGATCTTGGACCAAATATCGATTTGATTAGCTATTGTTCCTCACAGACACTTCTGACTAATGACGTCTTGAATTATTCATCAGCTGCTTTGAATGTACCTGGAGAATTATGGGTAACGTTTTTTTTTTTTACTAGCAAAATAATGTTTCTGTTCATGATCGTTTTGTACTGAATTGTACCGCCAAATGAGAAGATTTATAAACCTAATGGAAATGAAATGTCAGTTTCTGTAGATCTGACGTGAGTTTCACAAGGACATTTGACAGATTTTGGGCCAAAATCCTCCTGCAGTCTGCAGATGATACTGATGATGCCATCAAACTTTCAGAAATATGACTTGATTATTTTCCTCTCTATCCCAGTAACGTGACTGATGTTTGGCCAAATCAATCTCTGGGTTCAAGGTTTCTGTTTAAACACAAATGTCACGCATTCAATCTGTAAATATAAAGCGTGTGCAGAATAAATGGGATCATGTGACCTTTGTGTGCCATCCATGATCGTGTGATTGTTAAAAAGATGATCAACTCTCAGACTCCTTTGTTTTTTTTGGGAGGTATTTTGCTCATTCAAACCAATAAAACCCAAGCATTTTCTACCTCCAGCAAGATTTGAACCGTGATTCAGTCCACCGTGCCACAGTCTTGAGAGCTTAGCTGTAGAAAATAAATCAATAAAGGGTAAGAGGGTGCGAGAAAACCTTGATTCAAATCCTCTCGGTGCTTACGCTTTTCCTCATTTGCTGAAGCTCTCAATAAGAGCTCAAAACACTCACCAGTGACTCAGGAGATAAAGAGTTGTCTTTTAATCATAGCAGCCGCAGTTCAAATCCCGCTACTGCTTGTTAAATAAATACAATGAAGCGTTCTAAGCCGAGATGGGCCAATGGTTAAGTCGTCTGAGCAAACAGAAGCATACTTGTTTGAAGGCTTGTTTCTTTGGAGAATGTTTTGTCTCAGTTGAGCGTTAAGTAAAAAAAAAAAAAACTAAAGCATAGTCCGTAGGGCTGGGTAAAAAATATTTATCTTGATATTAATAGATTCTCATTTTTATGGAACGATATCGATTCTTAAATCCCAAGAATCGATTAGTCTAGCCTGTTTTCAGTTAATGGATGGAACAATGAAGGGCACTTCCCATCTAATATATCGCAATAAGCATTGTACTTTGGTACTTTTAATATGAAACAAAGTCTCAGATTTCAAATTCTGTCCATTGTATTGCAGTATTTAAACAATAAATGCCGTTTTGGCGCTGTTTAATGTGGAGTGATCGCTGTATTGATCATCTCCTCCGCTTTATTACTAGTTATAGCACAAAATAAACATGACTAAACATCCGAAGGGAAGTTAAAAGAAAGAGTACAACTTTACAATACGTATTCTGTCTCATGTAATCGCTCGATCAGTGTTTCAGCCGTGCAAAGATGTCAATAATGGCTTGTAAACAATGTCACGCAACGTCACATTGACCTCCGAAAAAACGTATTTGGTGACCATAAACTCATTAATCATTTAGAAAAATAAACTGTAGTGAGGGGCATTTTGCTTCATATATGCACCATATAACATATTCATTATAATTTTTTACTGTTCTTCAATTTTATGTTTGAATAAATCCATCAAGTTTTTATGACCGCCACCATTAAATGTTTATATTTCAAAAAAACGAATAGAAGTAGAAATATTATGTAACTGTAACTTTATTACTGTAAAAACTTCATTGATTTTAACCTTCAATATTATAGTAATGTAGTACCAACCGACTCTCATGTATATTTTACACCAATAGTTGATTTTTTTTTCCTTGAGAAAATTTGGCATGTACTGTACTGATATATATCCAAAATAATCTATATTGAATCAAATCGGTAATCGAATCGAATCACAAGCTTGTGAATGAGAATTGAATCGAATCGTGAAATTTGTGCCAAAACCCAGCCCTAATAGTCCGCCTCAAGAGAGGGATTTAAACCAGGACTCCAAGCATCCTCCCTGAAACTTTGGGAGGGATTGTTTTGTCCCAGTCGATCATTCAGCAAATAAAACTAAAGGGTTTTCCACCTCGAGACAAAATAGCCTTCTATGCTTGAAGGAGCCGCTGAAGCGTACATGCTTCTTTTTGGAGGGAGTTTTGTTCATTCGGAACCAGTGAATCTAAAGAACCACAGTTCTTTCTTTTCTTTTATCAAATATGTGTAATATAAAATTGAGCTGGACTTCTATTAGGGCTGGGTTTTGACACAAATTTCACGATTCGATTCTCATTCACAAGCTTGCGATTCGATTACCGATTCGACTCAATATCGATTACTTTGGTTATGTATCAGGTACAGTACATACCAAATTTTCTCAAGGAAAAAAAATCTCTCAAATAATGCTGTAAAATATACATGAGAGTCAGTTGGTACTACATTACTATAATACTGAAGGTTAAGACTTAATGAGGTTTTTAAAAATAATAAAGTTACAATTACGAATTCGTTTTTTTTATATAAACATAATGAAACGTGGATTTATTCAAATAAATTAAACATTGAAGAACAGTAAACTGTATAATGAATATGTTATATGGTGCATATATTTAGCAAAATGCCCCTCTCTACAGTTGACTAATGAGTTTATGGTCACCGAATATGTTTTTCAGAGGTAAATGTGACGTTACGTGACATTGTTTACAAGCCATTATTGACATCTTTGCGCGGCTGAAACACTGATTGAGCGATTACATGAGACAGGAGACGGATTGTAAAGTTGTACTCTTTCTTTTAACTTACCTTCGGATGTTTAGTCATGTTTATTTTGTGCTATAACTAGTAATAAAGCAGAGGAGATGATCAGTTCAGCGATCACTCCGCATTAAACAGCGCCAAAACGGCATTTATTGTTTAAATACTGCAATACAATGGACAGAATTTGAAATCTGAGACTTTGTTTCATATTAAAAGTATCAAAGTACAATGCTTATTGCGATATATTAGATGGGAAGTGCCCTTCAACGTTCCGTCCATTAACTGAAAACAGGCTAGACTAATCGATTCTTGGATTTAAGAATCGATATCGTTCCGTAAAAATGAAAATCGATTAATATCGAGGTATCAATATTTTTTTACCCAGCCCTACCTTCTATAGCGCTGAATCATCTTTGCTTCATAACTGACAAATTTTGCAACACTTGTGATACTGAACTGACTTGAGCTTAATAATGACACTGTTACCTGTATTGCATTTAATACTATCGCACTGAATTAGATTATGTACCGTTGCTTAATTTTCTCCTGCTTATCACTGTGAAGCTGCTTTGAAACACTCTGTATTGCATAAAGCAATATATAAATAAAGATGACTTAATATAGTTAGAAATGTATAGATATTACATACATTTAATGAAGAAAATGTAGGATTGGAGTCTGGAGTCCCTTTGGATTTCATGTTGACTTTAATACTGCAGCATTCAGAACTACAGAAACAGAAGAAAAACACGTGAACCGACAGTGAACGTTTCAGATGGACTCATAATAGTATCGTATGAAATTCTGCTCCTCTGCACAGGAACCACATAAACCCATTCAAACGTCCGTTCGGAGGAATCGGAGCATCGGATTCATTCACAGCGAAGCCAGACAGTGAGGTGTCAGTCTGATCGTAAATCTAATCCGGAGAGATTTCTGTAGAGGTCAAAGGCCGTATTTCTTCTGCAAGTCTTGAACAGAAGCGTCTCCCAGACCGGCGCTGTGAATCCAGTCAAACAGCTCCTGTAAGACTGAAAGAAAGAAGAGTTTGCGTTTATTCGCCCGCTGTGTTCAGTGCTTGTGTGTGTTCGTGTGTTCGTACGTTTCTTCTCGGCGGACGACATGAACATGACGGTCATGTCAAACCTCCTCACGCTCGCCAGGCTCCTCAGGACGGCCAGCAGAAGAGGTGCATCTTCACGTCTGAAATCACAGACCAGACACAGGAAACAGGAAATGACATCATCACGTCGAACTCCCTTTGTCTGCAGTAAACGCCAGGGATGATAACTATAACCATAAATCACTTAGAGGCATTTTTTTCCAGCTGATGAATGATAAAAACATTGACAGCCAATCAGAATCAAAGCATTTGAAGTGCTGCTAATATAGTTATCGTTATTCTTAGCATTGTAGTTATTATAATAGTTATTGTTACAGTTACCACTGTAGTTACTGTTATCGTTTTAAAGTTACTGCTATAGTTATCATTATAGTTGCAGTTATATTCATTGTTATTGTCACGTTATAGTTATCGTTACGGTTCAGTGTTATTTTATTATTATTTATAAACTCTTATAGTATTCATTAATATTTAGAATTAGCTTTAATATTTATATTTTTTCAGTTTAGATTTTAATTTAATTTTCTAATGGTCTTTGTCATCATTAGACGTTTTTTTTATTAGCTGTAATTTATTTGAGTAATTTTAGTACTTCAACTGAAACCCATTTTAGTTCTTTCTCATTTTTGTTTATATTTTTCATCTAATATTTATATTTTATTTCACCTTCAGAATTATTTTTTTTTTATCGTTTTAGTTAACAATAACACTGATATAGTTACCATTCTAGTTAAGGTTATAGTTAGTTATGGTTACCGTTAGAGTTAAGTGATATGCTATTATAGTATTTATTTCTATTTAGAATTAGCTTTAATTTTTAGTTTAAGTTATAGTAATTTTATCATGTGTATTAGTATTTTTTTTAAATATTTTTTATATTAATAATAATGTTTATTAGTATTTTTTAAATTCTATTTAGCTGTAATTTATTTTTTATTTTCATTTTCGTAATTTTTTTCCTACTTCAACATATTTATTTCAGTTAGTTGCCATGGTAACGTTTATAATTTTCATTTATATTTTCCATTAAATATTTACATTTTATTTCACTTTCTGAACATTTTTCTCAAATCGTTTTAGTTAATAGCACTGCTATAGTTATTGTTGATAGTAACTTTTATAGTCATCTTTACAGTTATAATTCTCGGTTCATCATCATCATCTTCATCTTCATCTGAGCACTCACTGAAAGAAGCTGTGGAAGGTCTTGAGGATGTGGTTGAGAACATCAGGCTCCAGAGAGTTCTGGAAGATCTTCAGATAAGCGTCTGGACTGATTTGCTGCAATGTTAAACGTTGAGATGAGAAGCACAGATAGAGAGAGGATAGAGTGAGCGGCACTGACGCTACCTTCAGATATCTGTAAGTGGATTGTGGGTGACGGCTGGTCTTCCTGAGGTCGGCCTCCAGCTGGAAAGCGTTGCTGGGTGGAGGAGGAATCGATTCAGGATCTGCAGATGCATCTACACAAGCCCTGAAACACAAGACATTGACAGACTCACTCCAGCAGCAGGAGAGCGTGACGATCGGATCACGACATCTGCTCACCTGGATACAGGAGCGTCTGAGATCTCATCTATCTTCTGGATCTTGGGATGCGGTGAAGACGTGGACGGTGAGATCTCTGCACCCACCTCCTGGATGTCAAGCCTTCTCAAGGGTTTCTGAGGCGACACAAACACACATGATGCGTTGACGCTCAACATACACAAAAACGACCTCAATTCCTCCTCATATGTGAGCCTGGAGCACAAAAGCAGTGTTGAGTCGCTGGGGTATATTTGTAGCAATAACCAACAATACATTGTATGGGTCAAAATTATCGATTTTTCTTTTATGCCAAAAATCATTAGGATATTAAGTAAAGATCATGTTTCATGAGGATATCTGGTAAATCTCCTACCGTAAATATATCAAAACTTAATTTCTGATTAGTAATATGCATTGCTAAGAACTTCATTTGGACAACTTTAAAGATGATTTTCTCAATATTTAGATTTTTTTGCACCCTCAGATTCCAGATTTTCAAATAGTTGCATCTCGGCCAAATATTGTCCGATCCTAACAAACCATACATCAATGGAAAGCTCATTTATTCGAGAAATTGACACTTATGACTGGTTTTGTGCTCCAGGGTCACATATCACGGACTCACGGCGGATCTGAGATCTTCAGGTTTGTTGATGGACTGGATGCTTCTCCTCTGTTTGTTGTCCTCTGGAGCCAGAAGACCGCTGCTCCTCATCTCCTGATGAACAGGTGAATGATAAATCATGATAAATCAGTAATCATGATCCTCATGAACTCCATCTGCATCTGCTCTGAGTTTGAGTCGCTAACTGTAACGTGCATTTAGGAAACGAGAAGCTTAAAAGAGAAGCTTCAAGGGCTCCCTGCGAGTTTTGACCATGGTATAAAAATTAATGTTATAAAAGGTCAAAAATATTAGTATCGTAATTTTACAGTTGTAATGTAAATAATAAAAAATTTTTTAAATACTTGATTTTTATTTGTGTGAAATATTGGAATCAAATAAAAAAATTTAATGACTATTATTATATATAATTTTTATTAGTCATTTTATATTTAATGTTTATAATTAAATTAAATATAAAAATATAATATAAATAAACAAAATATTTTTTTATATTTTTTTTCTTTTAGTATTTGAAATATTACAATAGCAGTATTCTTTATTCAGTCATTTTTATATTTTAATTTAGTAATAATAATCACAAAATTTTGGTCAAGTTGTTCAGCCCTATCAAGCACAGCAAAGTTATTTTTTTTTTTGCGTTCCTAATTTTTATCAGAAAAATTGCAATTTGATTTTTTCCCCCCAAAATGCTGTGCATTTATTCAAAACAATTTTACAGCTTTAATGTAAAAAATATAAAAATTGTATTAAGTCAAGTATCTATAAAATTGTATTAATAGTAATATTTCTTCTTTTGTTTTTATCTAGTCATGTTACTGCTTTTATTTAATAATAATAATAATAATAATAATAATAATAATACAGCCATGTTGATAAATATAATCACAACATTTTGGCTACAAACTGTAATACTGGTAAAAAAATGTATAGCCTGAATGCACTGTAAGTCGCTTTGGATAAAAGCGTCTGCTAAATGCATAAATTATTATTAATTATTACAAACAAGCACAGCAAACTTGGATTTAAATTTTTTTTTTTTTTTTTAAATCCACAATCACAACAATTTTTATCAGGAAAAACTGCAACAAGATTTTTGTCCCCAAATCATCCCTAGACCAGACGAATCCATGACCGTGTGCTGCGGACACACGTACCGCTGAGAGTTTCTCGATCTCACTCAAGGCCTGTTTGTTTCCCGGCTCAAGCTTCAGAACCTGCTCGAAATCTGCAGACAAACACAAACGCATGTGAGCTCCTCAGAAACGAGGATGAGGCTGCGAAAGCGACCGAAGCGATGGATGACGGACCTTCTTTGGCCTCTCTGGTCCTGCCTCGAGCGGCTCTGGCCGTGGCTCGTCTGGCGAAGGCTTTGGCGTACGAGGCGTCGAGAGCGAGAGCTGCGCTACAGTCCTGCTCCGCCTCGCTGAACCTGCACAAACACACACCACACTCTAACACAAGCATGCACTAGACAGTGAGCACACTTCTGAGGGATGTGTCACCTGTGGAGTCTGAGGTAAGCCATGGCTCTGTTAGCAGGCAGCAGTGCATTCGTCCCATCCGCCTGCATTCCTCTCGAGTAACACTCCACCGCCGCCTCGTACTCGCCTTCTTTAAAGTAAGCGTTCCCCTGAAACACACACACACTCACTTCATTTGAACAACTTTAAAGGCGATTTTCTCAATATTTAGATTTTTTTTTGCACCCTCAGATTCCAGATTTTCAAATAGTTGTATCTCGGCCAAATATTGTCCGATCCTAACAAACCATACATCAATGGAAAGCTTATTTATTCAGCTTTCAGATGATGTATAAATCTCAATTTCGAAAAATTGACCCTTATGACTGGTTTTGTGCTCCAGGGTCACATATTTTAGTCTTCTTATTTCATCGACGATATTGTATGTTGATACAATTAGTGTTTAATGACGTCGGTGTTGTCTCGTCTCTGTCATTAACAAAATGAACACTAACGGACCTTCTCTTTCTCGGTCAGCGCCAGATCTCTGTCCACCTGAAGCCCTTCAGAGTAGGATTCGTTGGAGTGGACCGGGCTCTCCTCCGCGTCCATGGCCTCCAGAGACTTATCCTGCAAACAAACAGCATTCATCTGTGAAATCATCGCGTCTTTATGCACATCAGAGCGTGAATCAGAATGCATAGTCGTATTACCACATCAAATTTGTCCCAGGCCTGATAATCGTAGGATTTTATGCGCTGCGTCTCCTTTTGCTCTTTCAGACCGTTAGTCTGGTGCTTCACGCTCTTTTTCGTCGTCTTATAATCTTTGTTCCTCACCGGCGGGAGAGTCTTCTGGAATAAAATACATTTCTAGCAAACAAACAACACCTGAATCTGAAGTGCTGTATTGAGTTTGCTCAGAGTTTTACCGGCGGTTCGCTGACGTTTCTGGCGCGGAGCTGCTGGTCTTTCTTCTTGATTTCTCCCTCCTAGTTGTTCAGCTCCTTCATGAAGTTCTGCAGATCTTCTGCGTTCTGTCGCATCTGTATCTGCAGCTCCACCGCTTTATTTCCTGACATCACTGCGCTCTTCTAGACCACATCAGACAGACAGAGATTCCCTGCAACACACACCACCTCAACAGTTTAAAATAATTACAAACTACTACAATCAAAACCATTGTTTATTCATGCACCGGCCAGTTTTGAGCTCTACTTTGCTTCCATATCAGACTAGCGGAAAGAAAACATCCGAAATACACATTTGTGACCCTGCAGCACAGAAGCAGTGTTGAGTCGCTGGGGGATATTTGTAGCAATAGCCAACAATACATTGTATGAGTCACAATTATACATTTCTCTTTAATGCCAAAAATCATTAGGATATTAAGTAAAGATCATGTTCCATGAAGATACCTTGTAAATTTCCTACCGTAAACTTAATGTTTGATTAGTAATATGCATTGCTAAGAACTTCATTTGAACAACTTTAAAGATGATTTTCTCAATATTTAGATTTTTTTGCACCCTCAGATTCCAGATTTTCAAATAGTTGTATCTCAGCCAAATATTGTCAGATCCTAACAAACCATACATCAATGGAAAGCTTATTTATTCATCTTTCAGATGATGTATACATCTTAATTTCGAAAATTGACCCTTATGACTGCTTTTGTGCTCCAGGGTCACATTTAAGTGTTTATATATTGCACTTGATCTATTTGCATCTGTAGATTTCAATTCCAATGCATATCTTTAAAGGTTTTTATCTCCACTTCAGCAGCACTTGCATACACCAGAACTTACAGGTTCATTCCTCTCTATATTCTGAAGGTTTTTACTGAGGGGTTTGTTTATATATAATTCACACTGATTTATACAACATTTTATTCCTAAAAACATGGCGAAAATGTATTTGTTTTCTGTCTGTTGACAGTACTTTCTGATAAAAAGAGAAATACAAAATCCCCTCTGGAAAAACCTTTAATATGTCAACAAAATCAAACGAGAATTTTGCTGCTGGCTTCATCAAATGTTCAGATTTCTGTTTCGGAATATGCAAAATGCATTTTTTAGTACATGTAACATTCCAGAAAACTTGCATTATAAAATGTCTTAATGTACTGTGATTAATTCACTGGGAAGGTATGGTGATTTCTATTAAATAAAAGTTTTACAGAGTTTTACCACAGTTAGCACCGGGTTACCATAGAAAACCACAAAATAATAAATCACGCAAAATGAGTCAATTCTTCAAGAGATTAGTCAGTTAATTATTTGTATATTACTTGTAATTAATGCAATTATTAATGACTTATTACGATCATTAAAGCTAATTATGATTTTACAGTGGAAACAGCGACCGTAGTCCATGAAGATACCTTGTAAATTTCCTACCGTAAACTTAATGTTTGATTAGTAATATGCATTGCTAAGAACTTCATTTGAACAACTTTAAAGATGATTTTCTCAATATTTAGATTTTTTTGCACCCTCAGATTCCAGATTTTCAAATAGTTGTATCTCAGCCAAATATTGTCAGATCCTAACAAACCATACATCAATGGAAAGCTTATTTATTCATCTTTCAGATGATGTATACATCTTAATTTCGAAAATTGACCCTTATGACTGCTTTTGTGCTCCAGGGTCACATTTAAGTGTTTATATATTGCACTTGATCTATTTGCATCTGTAGATTTCAATTCCAATGCATATCTTTAAAGGTTTTTATCTCCACTTCAGCAGCACTTGCATACACCAGAACTTACAGGTTCATTCCTCTCTATATTCTGAAGGTTTTTACTGAGGGGTTTGTTTATATATAATTCACACTGATTTATACAACATTTTATTCCTAAAAACATGGCGAAAATGTATTTGTTTTCTGTCTGTTGACAGTACTTTCTGATAAAAAGAGAAATACAAAATCCCCTCTGGAAAAACCTTTAATATGTCAACAAAATCAAACGAGAATTTTGCTGCTGGCTTCATCAAATGTTCAGATTTCTGTTTCGGAATATGCAAAATGCATTTTTTAGTACATGTAACATTCCAGAAAACTTGCATTATAAAATGTCTTAATGTACTGTGATTAATTCACTGGGAAGGTATGGTGATTTCTATTAAATAAAAGTTTTACAGAGTTTTACCACAGTTAGCACCGGGTTACCATAGAAAACCACAAAATAATAAATCACGCAAAATGAGTCAATTCTTCAAGAGATTAGTCAGTTAATTATTTGTATATTACTTGTAATTAATGCAATTATTAATGACTTATTACGATCATTAAAGCTAATTATGATTTTACAGTGGAAACAGCGACCGTAGCAACGTTACGCTGGCGCGGAAGCTACGGTTACCATGGCAACTCGTCAAAAGTTAACCTAACAACAACGCGGCCTCGAAAAAGCCGCTAGCTACAGATGAACAAGATTCCGCGAAAACAAACAAACAAAAAGTAAATAAATAAATCGAAATGAATTATCGTCAGTCTGTCATTCTGCGACAGAAACAGCAGGAAGCTGCGTGGAGCTAAACGCCTCGTACACACTGATGATTAACTTACTGGCGTGCTAACACACATGTGGGATATCTCTTCTGCTAATCACAAACTTGTTATAAACGCTTGTTTGGAGACGCTCATCCAGGTGGGTTAAAATCAGCAGTAAAGAGCAGAATCAGAGGTGCGCTTCATACCTGCGGGGATGATGAAGAGTCTCGAGCAGCAACACACTCCTCAGCGCGCATGCGCCAACTACGTCACGCACACGACTGAAAAACTGAAAAAGCTAGAAATCATTATTTTCTTTATTACCCTTTTTTTGGGGTGTATATAGTGCGCGTCTTTTGTCAGGAAATGAACTATATATATATTTAAAAAAAAAAAATATATATATATATATATAGTCTATTGCAATTGTGTCGGACTTTTATTTTGAAAACAGCAACGCAACCTGGCCGGGATCTTATGTTGAGCAAAATGATCTTATTTGGAAAAATCAAAATAATATAAAAATAACTAAAGCACACACTAAGTAGATTAGCGAGCTACTTTAATCCTCCGTCGCCCTTTGCGTGTTTTCAGTCACGTGACATTTGCGATGATGGCTCGAAATAGGGCTGAAGAAGAGGAGAGTAGCGATAAAGAGCCGCTGCAGGACAGCAGAGTGTGTGTGTGTGTGTGTGTGTGTCTGTGTGTGTACCTGTTTTTCGTGAGAGCGTGTGTGAGAGAGAGAGAGAGAGTCATCCTGGGATTGGTGTGTTTTGTCCCGCAGGTGTGTGTTCGGAGCAGAGCGCTGCGCTCCATCCTCGCCGGTCGCAAGGTGAGTCGAGAGGAGGCGGAGCAAGTGTTTGACAGCTGTTTCCATGACCACGCCCCCTTCGGCCGAATCCTACACTGCAAGAAAGAGCAAAATTCGTTTACAGAGATTACGAGAACCGAGACCGATACCTATGGGATGATATTAGACTCAAAATGATTAATTGTGCGTGCGTCTATTAATCATTTTGAGTCTAATATCATCCCATAGATACCACGCCAACCTCTGACTCTGCAGTAATGCCATCCAGACCAGCTGACAGAAGAGTATAATGTACTGTGCTGTTCTCATGCTGAAGGAAGAGTTATAAGCACACACTTGCCTTTTTCATCTCTAAATGTTTGACGGCACGACTGATGTTGTTTTTTATCTGAGCTTCAGTTTGAAAAGGATGGGATTATTGATGATCAAATCTGTCTTTGTATATGATTGAACAGTTATTCTTGCAAATATTCAGTATTCATGGAGGCTCGGGGTTTCTATAATAATCTGAGATCTGTACAAAACTGAAAACCTTTCAATTCAAGCAACTGAGAATTAATCAACATTATTTTACGTGAGTGTTTTTCCTTTGGGCTTTAAAGTCAGTTGCTGCTGTTTGTATGAATAAACTAGAACAGGCTCATATTTCCATAGAATAATATAATATAATTATTATACATATTATAGTTTATTTATTTATAGTAAATAAAATGGGTAATTTAACAGGGTTGTTTTTTTCAATTAATAAATTATTAAATATTAAATTAATTGCAAAATAAGGGTTTCCTCTGATTAGAAATAAAGACGTAGAAATAATTAACATCAGTGTAATTCATACAGTTTGGTTGATGCAAAGTGCTTCACAGTTATGGCATGATGCTAGAAAGTTGCGTATATTTAATAAATGATTAATTTTCATGTGAAGTAGAATTACATGTCAAATTTTTTTTTAAATTTACATAATATTTAACATGTGTAATAGACATTTAGAATACGAGTTCCAGCGCCCTCCTGTGGTGAATTGTGTGAATTACAATAATGCGATTTATTTCTACAGATTTAACTCGATTCAGAAGAAAACCTTGCAGTAAATTACTTTGCATTGATTTCATTTTATTTAACAAATTAATCACGAGCCTCTGCAACAACAAAACATCTGGAAAACCGCCCTTTTCTTCTGTAGAAATGTATTCTTTTATCTGTGGTGAATTACACTGTTGCAAATTTATGTTAAATAATTTTTTGCATTACTTCTAAATTATCTAATAAATTATTGATTATACTGTGCGGCGACAAAACATTTTATTCATAAATATTACATTTTTAAAAATGCAAATCAAATGAACTCCTATGGTAAACTATACGAATTACACTGCTGTTAATCATTTCTACATTTTTAATTCTAGTCAGAGGAAAACCATATTTTGCATTGATTTAATATTCAATACATTTTCACGTGAAGCAGAAACACGTCTGTTAAACTACCTTTTTAATTTACTATAAACATATTTTACATCAGTAATAGACATTTAGAATACGAGTTTCAGCGCCCTCCTGTGGTGCATTGTGTGAATTACACCAATGCGATTTATTTCTACAGATTTAACTCGATTCAGAAGAAAACCTTGCAGTAAATTGTGCAATGATTAAAAAAAATCAATTACCACGAGCAGCAGAAAATGTAAAATTATTCCTTTTATTTACGAAATATATTTTACATCTATACATTGAGTTTAATTAAGTGAATTACACCAATGCAGTTTATTTCTACTATGCATATAGCTTTATTCCTCTGACAGCTTTTATAACTTATTTTATTGCTTTATTTAGTGGTGCTACTGCGTTGATTATAATCATCTGTGCACTTTCATACACGTTGCATTTATGCTCACTGAAAAAAACTTTTATTTTGCATATATTCCGGCACATCTGTGCTCATTTACTTTATCATCTGTAATTAAATATGATTTTATGCAGCTTTTACAAAGCGTCAAACCTTCTGAAGTCCAGCGGCGCGTCTTGGAGGATCTTGAGGAGGAAGATGAGCGGTTCTTCATCTCTGACCCTGAGCGTGACCTCTGACCCCAAACAAGCCCACTTTAAATTCACGATTAATTACTGCGACCTTAAAATCATTTGGACACTTAAATCATAATTAGTCCGGTTTTAAATGCATATTTAATTACCAAAATTAAAGCAACTACAATTCTTCATAGAGAAAACTAGTACACAAGCAACACACTTGAAAAAAAATGTTTAAAGCCTGACATACACAACAAAAATCTGATTTAATTTTTTTTAAAGGAACAGTAAAATGCATGTGTTATGTTATATTTTGTCATATTTGATGCATCAGTCTGAGAATATCAAGGGAAAAACAGCTCAGTCAGACAAACCCAGCAGAAAAAACATGCCATTTTTTGCAGATGCTGATATTTATAATGGACAAAACGATGAAAACCAAGTCAATTAAGTTGCTTCAGTCCAGTAAGTGTTGAAATATTACTAATAAAATAAGTTATTCTTATGTTGGACGAATGTAAAGTTTTACTAGAAGACCTTTTACTTGCTGAAAACCCCCATAATCTCTCAAAACTATATAATTCAAGTATCAGATATGATGCATGCTTCATCTGTGCTGCATCTAAATTTGCAATAAGTTTCTGGAAGCAGATATTCATGTTACAACGTCGTGCATTTCATAAAATAATTACAATCCGCAAACCTAAAATAGAAGGTGCTGGCCATTAAATCCAGATTATTTATGTATTTTGTATTGATAAAATTTTTTGATTTTCTCCTACTTTAATATTTCAGTGTTGTAATTTATGCTAAACTTGTAAGTATACCATGTAGGTATTTATGCATACATTATATATGCATGTTTTGCATCAAATTGCAAGATAATTAAAAATGATAAACAGTCATAAAAAAAATCAAAGCTCCGAATGCTTTAACTTTTAAATAGCTGTAGCGCAAAGTTAATTTAAAAATCTTGATTCATTTTAAAAATGTATTATTTTTAAGGTATTTAAGGTAAAATGACCCGGATACGAGATTCGCTCTAATATAATATTCTGATATCAACAATAATAATTATTATCATTTGTATTAAATATGATTTGTAGCACAAGAGCAGATTTACAGCTGCATAAACACAAATGTTCCTGTATTTAATCGGTCTAATCTCACAATGTGTTTCTTGTGCTGTGTATATCCTGAAAAAACATTTTCACTCAGAAACTGGTAATACATTTCACGTTACGTGTGAAGCTGGCTAAATATTTTATTTACTTTTGGGGGAAAAAAATAAAAAAATGCACCAATCAATAGTTTAGTGTTTTATTGGTTTGCATCAATATTGTTTGTAAATGTATTCCATTATGTTGCGGTGATATACACGGTCTGTAAGTCGCTTTGGATAAAAGTGTCTGCTACATGATTAAATGTAAATGTAGAAGTAAGCACCACTTGGCATCATGGAAATGAATATATATAATTTATAAATGTGTGTGTGGTTGTACATACACACATGTAGTTGTTGTTTTTTTGGTGTCATTATTATTATACTCTTATACCTTTGGTTCTTTAATATTTGGAATTGTTTTTAGCTTTATTTTTTGGTTTTCATTTAAATGTTAAGTTTTGGAATGTTGTTGTATGCATTTGTTGCATTTTTTTATTTAATCTCTTTATTTTTAAAATGTGTATAAGTAGTATTTATACAGTTGTAGCTTCTAGTTTTAAATTTATTAAAAAAAATAAAAATAAATTTAAATAAAAAAATAAAAAAAAAATACAAAAAAAATAAATAAAAATAAAACGCATACAAAAATAAAAAAAATAATATATAAATGTTTTTGGTGGATCAGAAGTGCTGTAGTCAGACCTCAGGAGATCCGAGACACAAACACAATATTCCTCAGTGATCTGTGTGTTATAGTTCACCTCAGCCGTTCAGTTTAACCATATATACTTGTATGGTGTGTTCCAGGTGTATCACATGAAGCCGGTCAGTCGGGAGCGTGGAGATGCTCAGACCATTTCACACGACCCCTGACCTTTACTGCCCGACCCCAGCATGGACGTCCACATGCACTACGGCCTGAACGACGGCTTTTACATGAAGCTGATTACGATGACGACAGCCGAGCCAAACCCTACCTTATTTATGATCAAGACATTACACATGAAGGAAATAACCCACGGATTCACACAAGCCCAGAAACCAGTTCCTTCGTCTTTAAAGCATGACACGCTCATTGTGTTTCGGCAGACAGGTGACAGGTGAGCTGGTCTGTAGTAAAGACAAGAACGCAGTCTGACAGCATGCATCACACGATCATCTACACTAAACCAGCAGGTTCTGAACGACACTCGGATGGTTTTAAGACGAGCATCACTATCATCACCGCTCACACTTAGGATGAGGGATTTCAACAAACCCTAAAGCATGTGCGTTTGAAACGAACGATTCCTGATGCTTTAAACGAGCAGACACATGATTACAATCAAGCCGGTTTTATTGGTGGACGATAAAACAAACCTCAGCCATATTTACAGACCGGAAGATCACAAAAACCTGATTCATGCAAGACGGTAAGAATCCACCTAGCAACCATTTAGAAACTCTTAGCAACCACATTGCAATCGAGATCATTATAGTAGAAAACCCCCGAAAAACTAAACCCATAGTAAAACATCACTTGAAATAAAAAAAACGTAAATAGTATTTATAATTATACTTTTAGATCATATTTTTATTATAATAATACAATACATTAAATAATATTTTAATAACTAAAATAAAATATTTAGGCATAAATAAAAATGACAAAAACCTCACTACACTATTAAAAATTACAAAAACTTTCAAATTAAAATGACAAAAAAACAAAAAGGTCAAAATATTAATAAAACCTATAATAGTAACTTTTCCATGTTCAAACATCGCTAACGTTTTCCTCAAAAAACATAAGTCTGCATTATTTTAATATATTATACAATTAAGATATCTTAAAAAAAACTAAAAACAAAGAACAATCCAATGAAAAACATGCATTTAAATATAGATTTTTAACCATAGACTAATTCCGGTTGCTTGAATTAAGATGTAATGATTGATTATTCAATTTTCAATAAATTTTGTAATTGTGTACAGAAACAATTTTTTTTTTTATCCACTCTTGGCAGACTTTTAGCAAATATAGTACGTCATCAGGGAACTAAATGCATAAAAATTGCATACTGTGCACAGCTATACATATAAACTCTGTACAAATAGTAGTATGCATACCATCTTAAGTATTTTGACATGCTATATTTATATGGCTCAAAGCGTTCTGATGGATCGATGCTCTCTCTCGCTCAATTTCCTCATGACACGATGGTGCTGATTGTAACTTGATAACTGCTCGAACAAAAGACTCCAGACCTGTGTTTGAGAGAGGAATAGCACTCGAACCATCAGCTGTGAAGAAAAGCCGGTCCTGCTTCTGTCTGCTGCTCGTTTTCTGAATATCTAATGGCACAGACTAAAAGCAGCCCTCAAAGCTGATGCAATGTGTGCGCAGGCAGCATGGCTCACAGAGGGGCTGTTCGGGGTGTTCACGGGGCGATGAACACACACACACACACACACACACACACACACACACACACACACGAGTAGAGTCTGTATTCTGCTGTTTGAGCAGACCGAGGCATCCACCTCTGAAACACTCACACTGACAGCCGACTGATCTCTGGAGGTCACAAAGCACATGCATCGTTTAAATCAGCAGGTTTATGATTATAGGAAACTAATTCTGTCGTGTAGACTGCAGTGCATAATGCATCATGTCATAAACACACTAGAGACTCCCACACTATTTTCTCAGCTGAACCCATTTGAGCTAAAATATTAGATTTTAAGGTAAGACCTTACAGTAAGGTAAACATTAGTTCATATTAGTTAACATGATCAATACTAGTATAGCATTCATAGCAAGTTAAACATTCACTAATACACAAGTTGCATCTGTTAATGCATGAACATTTTTATTAACTAACATTAACAAAGATTAATGAATGCTGTAAAAATAAAAGTTCATGTTTGGTCATGCATGATAATAAAAATGAGACCTTATTGTAATGTGTTACCGATTCTCTCTCTCTCTCACACACACACACACACACTAGATTCACATAGAAAACAGCTATTTTAAATGACAATATTTCACTATTTTTACTGTATTTTTGATCAAATAAATGCAGCCTTGATGAGCATTTGCCCGGTAGTGTACATTACTTACTTGACTCTTTCTCTCTCTCTCTCTCTCTCTTATCATCACCGCTCACACTTAGGATGAGGGATTTCAACAAACCCTAAAGCATGTGCGTTTGAAACGAACGATTCCTGATGCTTTAAACGAGCAGACACATGATTACAATCAAGCCGGTTTTATTGGTGGACGATAAAACAAACCTCAGCCATATTTACAGACCGGAAGATCACAAAAACCTGATTCATGCAAGACGGAAAGAATCCACCTAGCAACCATTTAGAAACTCTTAGCAACCACATTGCAATCGAGATCATTATAGTAGACAAACCCCGAAAAACTAAACCCATAGTAAAACATCACTTGAAATAAAAAAAACGTAAATAGTATTTATAATTATACTTTTAGATCATATTTTTATTATAATAATACAATACATTAAATAATATTTTAATAACTAAAATAAAATATTTAGGCATAAATAAAAATGACAAAAACCTCACTACACTATTAAAAATTACTAAAACTTTCAAATTAAAATGACAAAAAAACAAAAAGGTCAAAATATTAATAAAACCTATAATAGTAACTTTTCCATGTTCAAACATCGCTAACGTTTTCCTCAAAAAACATAAGTCTGCATTATTTTAATATATTATACAATTAAGATATCTTAAAAAAACTAAAAACAAAGAACAATCCAATGAAAAACATGCATTTAAATATAGATTTTTAACCATAGACTAATTCCGGTTGCTTGAATTAAGATGTAATGATTGATTATTCAATTTTCAATAAATTTTGTAATTGTGTACAGAAACAATTTTTTTTTATCCACTCTTGGCAGACTTTTAGCAAATATAGTACGTCATCAGGGAACTAAATGCATAAAAATTGCATACTGTGCACAGCTATACATATAAACTCTGTACAAATAGTAGTATGCATACCATCTTAAGTATTTTGACATGCTATATTTATATGGCTCAAAGCGTTCTGATGGATCGATGCTCTCTCTCGCTCAATTTCCTCATGACACGATGGTGCTGATTGTAACTTGATAACTGCTCGAACAAAAGACTCCAGACCTGTGTTTGAGAGAGGAATAGCACTCGAACCATCAGCTGTGAAGAAAAGCCGGTCCTGCTTCTGTCTGCTGCTCGTTTTCTGAATATCTAATGGCACAGACTAAAAGCAGCCCTCAAAGCTGATGCAATGTGTGCGCAGGCAGCATGGCTCACAGAGGGGCTGTTCGGGGTGTTCACGGGGCGATGAACACACACACACACACACACACACACACACACACACACACACACGAGTAGAGTCTGTATTCTGCTGTTTGAGCAGACCGAGGCATCCACCTCTGAAACACTCACACTGACAGCCGACTGATCTCTGGAGGTCACAAAGCACATGCATCGTTTAAATCAGCAGGTTTATGATTATAGGAAACTAATTCTGTCGTGTAGACTGCAGTGCATAATGCATCATGTCATAAACACACTAGAGACTCCCACACTATTTTCTCAGCTGAACCCATTTGAGCTAAAATATTAGATTTTAAGGTAAGACCTTACAGTAAGGTAAACATTAGTTCATATTAGTTAACATGATCAATACTAGTATAGCATTCATAGCAAGTTAAACATTCACTAATACACAAGTTGCATCTGTTAATGCATGAACATTTTTATTAACTAACATTAACAAAGATTAATGAATGCTGTAAAAATAAAAGTTCATGTTTGGTCATGCATGATAATAAAAATGAGACCTTATTGTAATGTGTTACCGATTCTCTCTCTCTCTCACACACACACACACACACTAGATTCACATAGAAAACAGCTATTTTAAATGACAATATTTCACTATTTTTACTGTATTTTTGATCAAATAAATGCAGCCTTGATGAGCATTTGCCCGGTAGTGTACATTACTTACTTGACTCTTTCTCTCTCTCTCTCTCTCTCTCTAGGATGATGCTCTGCAGTTCCTCAGTCTGGAGGAGCGGGAGTGTATTTTGTTCTTCGAGGAGACCATCGGCTCCCTGGAGGAGGACGATGAGAGGACAGGAATATCCGCAGGCGACACACACACACACACACACACACACACACACACACACACGAGTAGAGTCTGTATTCTGCTGTTTGAGCAGACCGAGGCATCCACCTCTGAAACACTCACACTGACAGCCGACTGATCTCTGGAGGTCACAAAGCACATGCATCGTTTAAATCAGCAGGTTTATGATTATAGGAAACTAATTCTGTCGTGTAGACTGCAGTGCATAATGCATCATGTCATAAACACACTAGAGACTCCCACACTATTTTCTCAGCTGAACCCATTTGAGCTAAAATATTAGATTTTAAGGTAAGACCTTACAGTAAGGTAAACATTAGTTCATATTAGTTAACATGATCAATACTAGTATAGCATTCATAGCAAGTTAAACATTCACTAATACACAAGTTGCATCTGTTAATGCATGAACATTTTTATTAACTAACATTAACAAAGATTAATGAATGCTGTAAAAATAAAAGTTCATGTTTGGTCATGCATGATAATAAAAATGAGACCTTATTGTAATGTGTTACCGATTCTCTCTCTCTCTCACACACACACACACACACTAGATTCACATAGAAAACAGCTATTTTAAATGACAATATTTCACTATTTTTACTGTATTTTTGATCAAATAAATGCAGCCTTGATGAGCATTTGCCCGGTAGTGTACATTACTTACTTGACTCTTTCTCTCTCTCTCTCTCTCTCTCTAGGATGATGCTCGACAGTTCCTCAGTCTGGAGGAGCGGGAGTGTATTTTGTTCTTCGAGGAGACCATCGGCTCCCTGGAGGAGGACGATGAGAGGACAGGAATATCCGCAGGCGGCCACAGGCTTGCAGTGGAGCGTCCGCTCTCATACACTACAGCTCGACATCCCAGCCCTGTAGATCATGATATCATTGACCTGGTGCACCCTACACCCGATCCCAGCAAACAGAAAGACACGCTGCCCATCATGCCAGGTACCTGAACACAACTACTCCGTATAAACCACAGAAAACATTACAATTCGGCTTTTAATCAAAATAAAACTTCATCCTAAACATGCAAAAAGCTGTGCTCTGAGAAGTTAGTAACTGCTCACTGTACTATAGTATATATGCACACTATATAGTGCTTACCATTTTTTTTTATTTTTAAACAATGCATTATGCAAAGATCAAAGTTCTGCAATAAAGCTTCGTCACATGACTTCAAGTGCATGCTGTATTCAGCAGTGAACTCCAGATGCAATCTTAAAAATGTAAACAATCCAATGAAAAACATGCATCTCCACATTCGGCAATTTTGAAATTACACAAAGAATTCGTTTAGCAAATGCAGGGAATTTTGTGCATACAATTCGCATATTGTTACACAGGAGTAGGATGCTAGGCTATTCCAAACATAACCAGAGGATACAAGAATATGTCAAATCAGCAATCATATCCAACATGTTGCTTCTTTAGCTGTAATAAGGACAAAATACTGTACATGAAACTATGTTTTCAAGCTAATCTTCATAAACATTATACAGCAAAAGACCAGAAATGGGTCTCATTCACTAATAATTGCGTAGACTATTTCTTATTTATATATGCACAGGAGAACGTATTACAAACTCATAACCAGTTTTAGTTTAGTATCATTTATATACCATTATAGTTATTGAATTAGCTTTAATTTGTATGTTTTCATTTTAATTTGTAGTTACAAATTAACAATTACTTTTAGTAATTTTATTGCATGCTTATTTTTTATCATTATAGTTTTTTTTGGCAACACTTTACAATAAGGTCCCATTAGTTAACATTAATGCATTAACATTAATAATGAGCAATTTGTTTCAGCATGTAGTAATCTTCTGTAGTTAATGTTAGTTAAAAAGAAAAAAAGAATTAGATCAGATCCATTAAACAAAAACAGACAGCTTTTTTAAATAATGTAAATTAATGTAATATGTCGAAATTAATATTAAGATTAATAAACGCTTTAGCAGTATTTTCCATTGTTAGGTCATGTTATCGAAGATAGTTAACCAATGTTAACAATTAAAAATTTATTGTAATTTTTGTTTGTTTTTAATATTACTATTTAGGTTTAATTTATTTTTTGTATTAGTTATTTATTTCCATGTAGAAAGTTGATTGCCACGGCACCATTTCAAATATTTTAAATTATACTTAAATTATATTATTATTAACTATATAATTTAAGTGATATTATTCATAACTTAATTGTGGTTTATGTTTTAATTTATATATATATATGATCATTTAGATTTAATTTTAATAATCGTTTTTTGTTTGTTCAAAGCACATATGCTAATGCTGCCTTAAAATTTTAAGTTTAGTCAACTTAAGTTATCTTAGATATTTTTGCATAGCTTAGACATTTTAATTATGTCTGTCTGATTGTTGCAATTAGCTGATGGTGATGAAATATCTATTAATGCAAGTTAATGAAAGTTAAAGTTAGGTTCAGGTTTTTTGTGCCCCCGATCCGATCAGAGTCATTGAATATGGAGTATCTGCCGGTACGGAGTCCTGATCCGATACTTGTATATTCCTAGTGTTTGGTGCACAATTCAGGTACATTAAAGTTAATTTAATCAATCCAATATATACAAAGTTGCGCAGAGAGTAAAAGTAATATTTGGAAAAAAAAAGCATCTACACACACACACGATACACTATGTATACACACTGTATGTAGACAATCTAAACAGACTGGTCACAATTATAAATATGGGACTGCTGATATAAACTTCTAGTATTTTATATGTACAATAAACAGAATAATAAATGTGGAGATAAGGTTAGAAAGCATGAAGCTCGCGATGTTAAAATGCCAGTCTATCAGCCAAATCTGAAGCAAGACGCATCCCATAGCAACACGTTATAACAACGATGTCTCGGATAGTCAGACGACAGATAAAAGTATACGATAAATTAATTAGGGATAACTACAAAAGTGTGCATAAAATACACTGAACACAGAATCAAGCGTGCATGCGAGGCGCTAGAACAGACCTCACTGGTTGTAGTACGCTACGCATGCATGTTTGAGCTGCTTCTTTCGCTTTTAATGATGGTTGGCAAACGCACTTAAAAGGCATATACCGCCACCTACTGCATGACACCGGCATGACAGCTGACGTAAAAAGGATCGGGCTGAGGAGAGCCGATACGGATCAGTTAAATTGCTTGATTGGCCCCGATCGGCTTGAGACATCCATAATTAAAATTCTTTTTAAAAGTATGAAATTTACTTACGAATCATGTTGTTAATGAAAAACACTTGCTTGCTGAATTCACACACACAGATTTGTGTATATTCACACTTAGTGAATGAGAACTAATGTCTTTGGCAGTAAAGCGATTGACACTTAAATAATTTCTTTAGATGCCATATTGAGTGTTGTCCTTACATATTTCTATATATAACATTTTTGCACCATCGGAGCGGCATTAACCCAACTTTAAATGCGTTTGCCTCGTCAGATTTCCAACAGCTGATTATACCCCCGGAGACCCATTTTGAAGTGAAGCCGAAACGTGACCTGGACGTCTCAGACGGGCCGCAATTTGGACACCAGCCGCCCGCAGGTTCAGTTCCCACCCAGGTAGTAATCGCCAGCAAGATCGCCGAGCACCAGGGCGCAGGTGGCACGTCTGCATCGCAGCTACTCCAGCGCAGACGCAGTCTAGAGTCGCCACCGAACCCCTCGACCAAACACGACCCTCCGACCCACGCCAAGCCCACGCGTCTTCCCGACAGCATCAGCATGTTACTGGGCAGCCGAGAACACATTCCCCACTCGATTGCCGCCGAAGCCATCAGGAGCGCCGGGCGCAAATGCTCTCGAGCCTCTCCGGCACAGCACACCCTTTGGATGGTGGCGAACCGGCCTGCGTGTGCAACCTTCCCATACGGAGCATTTCGTTTCGAGATCCAACGCCAGACAAGTCTAGGATGGAGGTGCTTTCGAAGCTTGGACTTGCTCAGAGGCGAACGCAATCCATCATGCATTCCGGCACTACGCTCAACATTACCAATCCAGCTAACACTAGGGCCAACGCAGACACTACAGACCCCTGCCAAACCAAATCTGGCCCCGCACCAACTTTGACGAGTGCCGAAGTCACACACAGTGATTTCAACAGCTATGGCGGTAAGAGCATCATGCTAAACCCCACATCGTCCTTCAGGGCCGAGTACCGCTCATCTTCAGTGCCCAAAACAGAGTCTTCAGATGTCCATCTCAACAACTTCGGCGGCAGATCGCGAGTCGTGACTCCATCTCATCCAAACCACGGCACCCAAACCAAGACCATCACCCCAGTAAAAGAGGACAACTCCAGCTCAAACAGGACTTCAAATGAAGGCTTATCCAAGAGGAAAGCGTCACACTCTGAAGCGCCTGTGAAGCAGCCGCCAGCTCCGGCTCCAAAACCACGCTCCGCGCCGCTGTCCCCAGAGTTACGCCGCAAATCTTTGCCAAAGCCGTCCTTCCGCACTCAGGGAATAACGGTGCAGTTTTCTGGGAGAGGAGCCACAGATGAGGCCAGACGTGATGCACTACGCAAGCTAGGTCTGCTGAGAAGCACGCTTTAAATGTTCACACGCTACTAACTAATAACGTGTAGACTCCAGTACATAAACAACTGATAAGCTATGATATAAACAGTGCTGCGTAGATTACTTACAAATTGTAGTTTACAAGTTACAAGGCAAAAATAGTAGTTAGCAATGTAATCTATCAATTACACATTTTATGTAACGTAATCGGACTACTCATTACTTTTGGATTACTAGATGACCTAACTTTTTGAATAGGATAATTGTGTACCATACTGAAGTAAAAATACAAGGAGAAAAGTAAAACGGAATAAATTTCATGTAGTCAATCAGCAACAAATTGCATTTTATTCTTAGGGTTTCCCAAAAATAAAAACGCTTGATACTCACTTAGCTGCATGTCATGTGACCATTAACCAACATCAGAGAAAAGTGAACATGCAGAGGTGTTAATTATTGACTTAATTCTTAACTAAATACTAAAACTTTCAAGGGGACTGAGTAATTATGTTTGGCTAACGAAAAAGCATCACATGGCATAAAATTGTGCATTTTAAAGATGAAATCTTTACAGAGACAGTAATGCATTGGTAAATAACTCACCGAGTGATTATATAAATGTAAATTATAATTAAAATAAGTAAAATATGTTTACTGCCATTTTGTGAATATGTAATCTGTATTAAAGTAACTGTAACCTAATTATGAGTGTTTAAAAAAAAAAAATCTAATTACAAGTATTTCATTTTTAATAAGATTTAAAGATAATCAGTTACTACCCAGCACTGATTTGATCTAATCATATGTATATATGCACGAAGAATATTGGCATTACCTTGTTGGTAAGATTTCCAGAAGTTCAGAAGGTCAAAGCAGGATTTATGATCATCTGTTGGACAGCAGCAAGACTTTTTGATTGAGTTTCAAATGCAAGTTTTGCGAAAAAGCCACAGGTAACACTCACACACGCCTGCTTAGAAGTTACAGATCTCCGAAAACATTTGCATCAGTTTTAAATGTAGTTTGTGAAGTTGTTGGGCATGCTGTGGAAGCACATGTTTGCATCATGGTCACATGGTTCCAGAACTGAGCCAATCACTCGAGTCTTAATTGTCATGTGACTGATGACTCTCCCCTGACCTTTCAATTGATGAACCAATTGACTTAATTGAAATTTTTTTTTTTCAACTTTTTGGATTTTTACTGTTTTTTTTTGCTTTGGTTTGGTTTTACTGTTTTATTTTGACTTTTTGATATTTGTGACCCTGGAGCACAAAACCAGTCATGAGGGTCAATTTTTTTAAATTGAGATTTATGCATCATCTGAAAGCTGAATAAATAAGCTTTCCATTGATGTATGGTTTGTTAGGATCGGACAATATTTGAAAATCTGGAATCTGAGGGTGCAAAAACATCTAAATATTGAGAAAATCATCTTTAAAGTTGTTCAAATGCAGTTATTTGCAATGCATATTACTAATCAAACATTAAGTTTTGATATATTTACGGTAGGAAATGTACAAAATATCTTCATGGAACATGATCTTTACTTAATATCCTAATGATTTTTGGCATAAAAGAGAAATCTATAATTGTGACCCATACAATGTATTGTTGGCTATTGCTACAAATATCCCCCAGCGACTTAACACTGCTTTTGTGCTCCAGGCTCACATATATGGTTTTATTTTGACAGTTTTTGTATTTGATTTGTTTCATTTTTACTTTATTTTAAGTTTTACTTTAACTTTCAAAAATTTTTTTTGCTCTTCCATTTTTACGTTTTCGTTATTTCTGAAGAACCCAGACTGTATGCAAGAAATACCTCAAGGGTCTTCCTAGAGCAAAATCTCACATGTGGTCTCTCAGCAGGTAGTGTGTATGATAATGTTGTATTTTTGCTCTCTGGATGTTGAATTGTGGGTTTGGACGTTGGTTGTCAGGTGGAGATCTTTCTCTTCAAACATGCAGAAGGTCTCGTAAATGTAAGTTTAGTTCCTCCTACACTAAACCAAAGCCATCCAAATCTAGATCTGGAACATGTTGTTAGTCACAGGGGACTGAAATCACCACCAATCACACGCTGTTGTATTTCACCTGTAGTGTATGTAATGTGGATTCCAGTGTGAATGAGCACGAGTGTTAGTGTATGTATGCTTTTAGTTTTTTTTTTTTTCACGACTCCGGTTTTTGCTTCCATTGAAGCAGTTATTGAAGGACTCCGAATGCATGATTGTGAACATGTGACGCCACTATAAACACATGCACACAGGAAACAAAGCAACAGTTTATTTCCACCTCCTTGAGTAAATGTAAATGTTCTTGCATTGGTGAAGATCTTTCATTTTCAGTGATTGTTTCTGAATAAATTCGATTAAACCCATCATGGTTCAGTTGCAACTGAACGTTACAGATAATGTTGAACTCGGAACACATTAGATGCAAAACAGGGATTTAGAGATTCACAAACGTTCACCAAGCATGACATTTAATCAGTCGGGTCAATGAAAAGACTAGAAAAATCACAAATTCGAAGCACGGTACAAATGAAAAACACAGAGAAGAGGAAAGTACTAAATCAGAAACCGCACAAAATCTATGCATTAAGAAGTATAGAAAGAAAATACTTTTTTTTGCATTGAAAAATCATTTTTAATATCTCATTACGGTAATATTTAAAGTACATTTGTCAAGCTGATTTTAATCATGTTGTGGTTTTATGAATTTTAATAACGTGTATAGACAGGATGAGCTGCAAACCATGTACTAAAACAGCCTCTGGGGGCGATTTAAGTTGTTTCTCTCAATATTTGTAGTTTAAAGATGCTTAAAAGGGTCCCAAACTAACAGGCCTTCAGCAGATAAACTGACGTGCACGTTACCAGTCCTCCCACAGGCGCGTGTTTGCGTCCGGCTCGACTGCATCTGTCTCACGACGGCTGTAAAACAAGCTGGTGAGTGTTTTTAGAGAGCACAGACACAAACAAGCATTCTCACGGTCACAGAAAGTCACTTTACTGCAACCGCGAACGTGTTAGCAGCTGCGTTCAGCCCATGCACGTCTCGCTCGGTGAGAAAAAACATCAGGAGAAAGATCAGAACACGTCCCAAAGTTTGTCTGAAGAACAACAACACTTGAGTTTTCCTCCGTTAGAGTCTCCGTTCGCTCGCTATCGAACCATCAAGCGGTTCCTGGCAAAATAAAACCACCTCCATCCTGTGTGTCCATGCTGAGACATTTCAGCCCAGCGTGTGTATATATATATATATGTGTGTGTGTGTGTGTGTGTGTGTGTTCCCATCCGTGTCCACCAGCTGATGCGGCTCGTCTCTGGTTGCCGTGGTGACGCTGTCTCCGTCCCAGAGCAGCACCGCTGTCCATCTCTCCATGTCTCTCTTTGACTCGTTTGCTCAGTCTTACATCATCAGCGTCTCCTGCGGTAAACAGGGTCAAAGGTCAGGGGTCAGTTTGTTCCAAACACAAGTGAGCTGCCTATCTAGGCTACACGGTGACCGTTCTAGTAGAAGTTACAACTACGAGGTGTTGTGGGTAGGGCTGCACAATTTGGGGAAAAATGTAATAGCGATTTTATTATTTACTAATTTTATTATTTTTACATTGAAACTTGCAAATAAAATTTTTATAAAAAAATATAAAGCTCCAGGCACAATTTGGCCAATTTTCTTTAATGATATATCAATATTAATATAAACTACTAACAGTAATTAATAAAATAAAAGTTATTGTTATTATTTATTAAAATATAATATTTATATAAATATTCAATATATAAAAATTATAATAATTAAATGTATTTTAATAAAATTAAAATATAATAAAATTAATAAATAATAAAATATGAATACTAAATAATAATATAGAATTAATAAAATTGTAATAAAAATTTTAAATAAAATACTACTACTACTAAATAAAAATATTAAAATAAGAAATATATTACTACTGTATATTTTACTGTAAAATAAAATGCAACCTTTGCAATAATTGCACTAAGCCATATATCGATTTAGGTTTTATTCTGATTAATCATTGTGTGTGATACATTGAAACTTGCAAATAAAATTTTTATTAAAAATATAAAGCTCCAGGCACAATTTGGCCAATTTTCTTTAATGATATATCAATATTAATATAAACTACTAACAGTAATTAATAAAATAAAAGTTATTGTTATTATTTATTAAAATATAATATTTATATAAATATTCAATATATAAAAATTATAATAATTAAATGTATTTTAATAAAATTAAAATATAATAAAATTAATAAATAATAAAATATGAATACTAAATAATAATATAGAATTAATAAAATTGTAATAAAAATTAAATAAAATACTACTACTACTAAATAAAAATATTAAAATAAGAAATATATTACTACTGTATATTTTACTGTAAAATAAAATGCAACCTTTGCAATAATTGCACTAAGCCATATATCGATTTAGGTTTTATTCTGATTAATCATTGTGTGTGAGTGTGTGCATGTGTGTGTGAGTGTGTGTGTGCGTGTGTGTGCGCGTGTGTACGAGTGTGTGTGTGTGTGTGTGAGTGAGTGTGTGCGTGTGAGTGTGTGCGTGAGTGTGAGTGTGTGTGTGTGTGAGTGTGTGTGTGTACGAGACGTGTGTACGAGTGAGTGTGTGCGTGTGAGTGTGAGTGTGTGCGTGAGTGTGTGTGTGTGTGAGTGTGTGTGTGTACGAGTGTGTGCGCGTGTGCGTGTGTGCGCGTGTGTGCGTACGAGTGTCTGTGTGTGTGTGTGCGCGCGTATGTGTGCTTGTGTGTGAGTGAGTGTGTGTGTGTGTGAGTGTGTGTGTGTACGAGTGTGTGCGCGTGTGCGTGTGTGCGCGTGTGTGCGTACGAGTGTCTGTGTGTGTGTGTGCGCGCGTATGTGTGCTTGTGTGTGAGTGAGTGTGTGTGTGTGTGAGTGTGTGTGTGTGTGTGTGTGTGTGTGTGTGCGCGTGTGTACGAGTGAGTGTGTGCGTGTGAGTGTGAGTGTGTGCGTGAGTGTGTGTGTGTGTGAGTGTGTGTGTGTACGAGTGTGTGCGCGTGTGCGTGTGTGCGCGTGTGTGCGTACGAGTGTCTGTGTGTGTGTGTGCGCGCGTATGTGTGCGTGTGTGTGTGTGAGTGTGTGTGCGCGTGTACGAGTGTGTGTGTGTGAGAGTGTGTGTGTCCGAGTGTGCGTGTGTGGATGTGTACGAGTGTGCGCGCGTGTGTGTGTGTGTGTACGAGTGTGTGCGCGTGTGCGTGTGTGCGCGTGTGTGCGTACGAGTGTCTGTGTGTGTGGGTGTGCGCGCGTGTGTGTGCGAGTGAGAGTGTGTGTGTGTGTGTGTGCGCGCGCGTGTGTGCGAGTGAGTGTGTGCGTGTGAGTGTGAGTGTGTGCGTGAGTGTGAGTGTGTGTGTGAGTGTGTGTGCGCGTGTACGAGTGTGTGTGTGTGAGAGTGTGTGTGTCCGAGTGTGCGTGTGTGGATGTGTACGAGTGTGCGCGCGTGTGTGTGTGTGTGTACGAGTGTGTGCGCGTGTGCGTGTGTGCGCGTGTGTGCGTACGAGTGTCTGTGTGTGTGGGTGTGCGCGCGTGTGTGTGCGAGTGAGAGTGTGTGTGTGTGTGTGTGCGCGCGCGTGTGTGCGAGTGAGTGTGTGCGTGTGAGTGTGAGTGTGTGCGTGAGTGTGAGTGTGTGTGTGAGTGTGTGTGCGCGTGTACGAGTGTGTGTGTGTGAGAGTGTGTGTGTCCGAGTGTGCGTGTGTGGATGTGTACGAGTGTGCGCGCGTGTGTGTGTGTGTGTACGAGTGTGTGCGCGTGTGCGTGTGTGCGCGTGTGTGCGTGCGAGTGTGTGTGTGTGTGTGTGCGAGTGTGTGTGTGTGAGAGTGTGTGTGTACGAGTGTGCGTGTGTGGATGTGTACGAGTGTGCGCGTGTGTGTGTGTGTGTGTACGAGTGTGTGTGTGCGTGTCTGACCTGCCGCCAGTCTTGAATATGAGGTCCGCGTTCGGGGCTCCTTTAGGGTGCTGGTATCGCGGCCGGCGCTCTCTGTTGGTGTTTGCGGGAGCGGGTCTCTGAGCGAGTGACTGCATCATCTCTGAAAGCACAAACAAGCAGTGCATGGATGAATGGATCGACACCAGCAGCTGTGAAACACTGAGAAAGCAGCGTCTGCTCTGCGGCTCACCCTGATAGTCCTCCTGCTCCTGCCGCTCGTTGATGTCCAGCGTCAGCTTCTTCATGCGCATGCGCTCCTCCTGCTCCACCTGCTGCTGGCTGAAGTGATTTGCCGCCAGATGAGACGACAGCGGCACGTTCAGGATCTTAAACTACAGAGACAGACACAGAGTTTTGTTTTCAGGCTTCATGCTCCTTAAAGATCACACGTGCCATTTCTGTGAGATATTATGAGAAAGTATTTTAACATCATGAAATGATAAATATCACCTTTAATTCTGTTTAAATAATTAAATTATTTTTATTACTTTTGTGCTACTTTCTTTGTGAAAAAATTAAATAAAAATGACACATAACTGAATTATATTTTATATTTATTTGCTATTTTGCTACTTTTTTTTTGCAATAATATTTGAATATTTTTTTAATTAATTTATTTAAGATCTTGCACATAATTTCGGTGGATGAACTGAGATATTAAGTTGTGAGAAAATATGCGATACTTTTTTTTGCGATAATTTTACTTTGCTCTAAGAAAGTATCAGAAATTAACAAAAATAATTACATTATCTATAGAAGGAATTAAATTTAATATTTGTCATTTTTGTTAAAATACTTAATTCCTTGTTTAAATCATTCAATTATTTTTTGCTACTTTCTTAATTTCATTTTATTAAAATTTATTGTGCACTATTTTAGAATTGAATTAAATGTTTTAATTAAAAATTAAATGATTAAATTATATTACATTATTCTTAAAGATCACGTGTGTCATTAAGCTATGATAAAATATATTAACAAAAAGTATTTTAACAAAAATAAATATTTTGCACTTTTACTAAATGTTTAATTAAATTTATTTTAAATACTAAAAACTTGCACTATTGTTATTATATTTGTACCTTTTTAACAATTTTAGCATAATAATCTCATTGCGCACAGCTATATGTTAAAAACAAACTGGCGATACAAAAATAGTGAGACAGAAAGAAAACAAGTACAGAATGTCAGACGGATGTCAAGTTTCTGAAAGACTGAAGGGTTAAACTGGGTCACTGAGACACCAGCAGACTGAAAACAAAGACGCTGTGTGTGTGTGTGTGTGTCTACAGTTTACACTCCCAAAGCCACATCCTGAACACACCCTGTAGACCCGAACCATTCCAACACACACTCACGCTGTACCTGCTGTTTGTTGCCCTTGCGTGTGAGCATGACGAACTGCATGGTGTCGCTGATGTCTGTGTCTGCGTCGCAGGAGGGGGCCGGGCTTTTCTTCAGCTGGCTCTTTAACTGGAGGGGTATGGCCACATCCAGCTGATGGACCTTCACTGCCTCTCCACTGCGCTGCTGCTCTCACACACACACACACACACACAAAGAGAGAGAGAGACACACACACACACACACAGAGAGAGAGACACACGCACACACACAAAAACAAAGAGACACACACACACACACACACACACACACAGAGAGAGAGAGAGAGACACACACATTATTTAATAAAGACAAATATCACTTATTTCTTTGTCTAAATAATTTTATTATTTTTGTTATTATTTATGTAAATGTATTTTGCAATAATTTATAATTAAATAAAATGTTAAATTAAATTACATTTATTTTACTTTGCATCAAGTAGCAAAAAACAATTCAATTATTAATATGAGGAATTAAATGTGATTTGTAATTTTGGCAACAATTTAATTGTTAATTAATAACTAAGTAAAATTTTATTTTAAAAATAATTTTAAAATGTATATATTTTAATGTATATTTTAAAATTATTAACTTAATTAAGATTAATACAGATTAATTTTTAAGAAACAATTACAAAAAAAAGCAATACATCGAATTAAACATGAAATTTTAAAGTAGAAAGACTGAAATAGTATTTTCTTGTAAAGTGTACACCAATAATCTTTAATTAAACAACTTCAAACCACCTTTATTTGCACCATTGTTATTTAATTTCTACTTCCTGCATAATATCTCATTGCACAGCTATATGTTAAGAATGCAGATATAAATATTCAAGCTGAAGCGATTATTTTTATCCCTCCTCGTGTTGTTTCAAACTTAAATGCTGTTATTTTTTTGTGGTTAGAAAATTTTGAAGCAGCTGTTTTCCATATAAAGCAGTCATAGTGACCACAGCTTTTAAACCCCAAAACTAAGAAGAATACACCATTAAAGCATCATAAAAATAGACCATATGACTTGGTTGGAATAGAGCACACAAGTGCTACTGACTACTTTAATGGTGTAGCTTTATCAAATAAAAGCACGCTTTCAGCAGTACACTAGAACTCAAAGCAGCCAGAGCTGGACTTGAAGCCACAAATCTACAAATGTGACGATCTTAAGAAAGTCAAAAGGGTCGGTTTTGCTCTCAGAAGCACGTAGAGGAGACGGTTTAGAGAGTGTTTGTGCACCTGCAGGTTTTCCAGCATCATTTTGTCCAGCGCCTGGATGAAGTCCTCGTCCTCGGCACACGCCACGTGTTTGAGTCCTCCGCTGCGGAGAGTGACCTCCTGAGCGACACAAACATCAGCGTTAGCTCAGAGAAACCGCCAAACCTCCGCTTCAGCCCGACCTCACACTCACGTTGTTCTCTTCATCCGTCTCGTTCTCTTTGTTGGAGTCGGTCAGATAGTCGGTGTTCTCCTCTTCCTCCTCACGCTCTTCTTCCTCATTGTCTGAGCCCTCCTGAACACGTGCACAACAACACACACAGTCTAGCTGATTAAACAATGCACAAATGTTAAATGCATCCTCATTTGCCTCTAAATACTCCACGTGAAATGTCAAATTAATGTGACTCTGGAGCACAAAAGCAGTGTTAAGTCGCTGGGGGATATTTGTAGCAATAGCCAACAATACATTGTATGGGTCACAATTATAGATTTCTCTTTTATGCCAAAAATCATTAGGATATTAAGTAAAGATCATGTTCCATGAAGATATTTTGTACATTTCCTACTGTAAATATATCAAAACGTATGCAATGCATTGCTAAGAACTTCATTTGGACAACTTTAAAGGCGATTTTCTCAATATTTTGATTTTTTTTGCTCCCTCAGATTCCAGATTTTCAAATAGTTAAAAAAAATTGACCCTTATGACTGGTTTTGTGGTCCAGGGTCACACACACACACACACACACACACACACACACACACATATATATATATGTGTTGGGTTTATGTATGTTTTATTTATAAATTCACAAAAGTGGTTTTATCAAAGTAAAGTAATTTGTACCATTTGGCACTAGATAAAAGTTTTTGATTTTAATTAATATTAAATAGATGTATAAGTATGTATAATTTGTACGTGTAAATATAATTTTATATACTGTATAAAATGTACACACACACACATATATTAATTATTATATACATTTTATACATTATATAAAATTTTAAGTTTTCAATATAATATATTGGTATTTAGTAAATATTTTTTTAATTTAAATTAATATTAATCAAATTAATTAATTTGAAATGAAAAACATTTATAGGCAAATGTTAACCCATTAAATCCAAAATGTGAAAAATCAATCAAATTCAAGTGGTGGCTTTTTATTTTGCATATGAATTTCATTTTGATCTTGTAGTGACTAGTGCTGGTGTGTGTTTGTCGCGTCTCTCATCTCTGCGCTTCATCTGTAAACTGTGTGTAAGAGCAGTGAGAGAGGAGGCGGGGTTTACAGCTGTCAATCACACGTCTGAGAACAGTCACCTCCTCCTCGGGTTCATTCATCTCGCTCTCGTTTCCAGACTGCTCCTCGGTCTCGGCTCCTCCCTCGTCGTCATCATCATCATCATCCTCATCCAGAGGCTCGTTCTCGCCCATGGCGCTGGAGGAGCGGCCGTCTTTCTCCAAACCTGGACACACACAGGAATGCTGCTACTGAGCAAACCAGACCACAAGGGACACAAATAAACCGGCACTACAGAATGACTGTGGTTTAAAACCAGCTGGGTGACAGACACACACGACAGCATTCCTGAAGAGCTATTCTGGATCTGAGCTGCTTTGTCACTGATACTCTTACCCTCGCTGCAGAAATGTGTGTCTTTCTCTCAGCACACGTCAGGCATGAAGCCGTCAATGACAGCGCATTAAACAAACCTGTGTGTGAGTGTGAGGAATGCTGCTCGACGGGGAGAGCAGAAACATGAGCAGAACAACTAGAAGAATGACTGCACACACACACACACACACACACACGCGCACTCTCGCACACACACACACTCTCGCACACACACGCGCACACGCGCACACACACACACACATGTTGTGTTTCCATGTTTTATGGGGACTCTCCATAGGCGTAATGGTTTTTATACTGTACAAACTGTATGTGCTATTGTCCTACACCAACCCTACCCTTAAACCTACCCCTCACAGGAGACTTTGTGCATTTTTACTTTCTCAAAAAACTCATTCTGTATGATTTATAAGCTTGTTTCCTCATGGGGACCTCAAAAATGTCCCCACAAGGTCAAAATTGACTAGTATTGATTAATCAAGGGCGCATTGAATCGATCAAACGTGACATTAAAGACATTTATAAAGTTGCAAAAAAATTCTTTCAAATAAATGCGGTTCTTTTGAACTTTATATTTATCAAAGAATCCTGAAAAATAAAATGTATCACGGTTTCCACGAAAATATGAAGCAGCAAAAACTTTAACATTGGCAATAAGAACCATTATTAATAACAGCACCAATAATAGATCATATTTGAGCACGCACGCACTCACGCACGCACACACACACTCTCACACACAGTTTTTACCACCAATCACAGGAGACGTTGCACACGATCATCCGTCTGTGATTGGCTGGTCCAAAGGCAAACACTCACCTGGAAGTAAATGAGCAAGCAGTCGAGCTTCTTCTTGCTGGAGCCGCGGTCAAAGTACTGTCCGCAGGTGTCCAGCAGGGTGCAGACCAAACTTAAAATGAAGTTACCTATTTTTCCTGTATATTTCTGTGAAGCTGCTTTGAAACAATCTGTACTGCATAAAGAGCTTTGTAAATAAATGTGACTTGACTAATACAATCAAGTAATGTGTTGTAAACACACACACACGCACGCACTCACATGCACACACTCACACACACAGGTTTGTTTTTATGGTTTGTGGGGACTCTCCATAGGTGTAATGGTTTTTATACTGTACAGACCAGGCTCCAAGTGTGTGTGCACACACACACACACACACACAGAGAGACACACACACACACACACACACACACACACACACACACACACACACACACACACACACACACACTCGCTTACACTCACACTCGCTCACACACACACACACACACACACACATACACACACGCTCACATTCACACACACACTCGCTTACACTCACACTCGCTTACACTCACACTCGCTTACACTCACACTCGCTCACACTCACACTCACACACACACACACACACACACACCTCCATGCCGAGGCGGATGTCCTCCAGCAGGCCGTCCACCACATGAATGCCCACATCCTCCTGATACGCCACCAGTCCTGCCAGCAGGTTGGCCACGCAGTGGATGCTGTTGTACTTGACGTTCCAGATGTTGATCATGCAGCAGATCAGGTAACTCTTCTCATCAGCATCATGCCAGGGCAGCTTCCTCAGCTGCCTCAACACCTACAGACACATGAGTATGAAGCTCATCGCAGCAGCATCTTAACATGTCCAGGCCTATTTATATCAAGAATGACATGCAAAAGCTAAATACAATGTTTTTTGTGTCTTTGTCCATTGGGAACAGCCAAAAATAAATATAATACAAAGGTTAATTAATTAAATTAAATGATTTACATATATTTCATAATATTTGTTTTTATAATATTCTTTATACTGTTATTTTATATAATTTTTCATTGTATTTACACTTTTATTATATATACAGTGGGGAAAAAAAGTATTTAGTCAGCCACCAATTGTGCAAGTTCTCCCACTTAAAAAGATGAGAGAGGCCTGTAATATTATAATAAAATAAAAACATTTTAATAAATTTTTATATTTAAGCTTTTTGATGTATTTTCTAATATATATGTATTTATACTTTTATTACATATACATATAAAACACACAAACACAGTATTATTAAACAACAGATGCTTTTGTAATAATATATAATAAAATGTGTATTTTTTTAATATATATTAAAAAATTTTATGTATTTGTAAGTATTTACAATAATTTTTTCATAATATATTAAGTTCTTGCATTATTTTTATAATATTATTTTATATATTGTAATATAATTTAAATTACTTATATGCAATAATTAATTTAAGTTATTATATATATACGTAAAATGTTTATGAAATAGACTAGTAATATGATTTTAATTATATCTATATATATATATATTAAAACCATAATACTAGTATATAATACCAATGTTAATATATAGTATTTTTATATATTTTTCATATAATTGTATATTTATTGACAGCTTCAGTGATTATTAAGCTTGCTTTGTGTATATAACTCGCTTTGTTGTATTTTCACGCTGCTAATAGGACCAAAACCCCATACACACTGCAATATGTCAGCAGTGATTAAAATCACACTGTCTAATATTCACTCTTCTTTTGGCCCAAATGATAATAAATGCATGATGTGGGCCACAAAATAAATGCGGTACCGCTGCGTCCACCGCATGCGTGACGCACCTTCTCAGTGGTGACCTTGGACAGGTCTTTGTAGAGGAGTTTGCGGATGTACTCCTGCAGCGGCGGCCTCTTCTTGCGCACCGTCTTCTCCATCGGCGGCGGGTTGCAGTAGTAATAGGCGTTCTCCACCATCGTCACATAACGCACATCCAGATGCTGAGCCTGCTTCTTACGCATCATTTGCTCCTGTGAACACACACGTGATCAACAGCATGAAGGGTTAGGGTTAGGCTGCAGGTTTGCATGCTTGTGTGAAGACGGACCAGTAAGACGCTCGTGCGCAGGTGAGACTCCGGTGAGCGGAAGAGAAAGCGTCCACACGTCTCCAGCAGTGTGCAGGCCATCTCGATATGATGGTGAGAGAAATCAGACAGCAGCATCTGCACAAACACACACAGCGTTAGAGATGCTGAAATATCATCATGACCCCAATACAAAGATTCAGCAGTCAATGCTATCATCAACATCACTCCACAGCACTACTGTTACTGCATTTCATATTTTTTTAAGCTTTCCATTGATGTATGGTTTGTTAGGATAGGACAATATTTGGCTGAGATGCAACTATTTGAAAACCTGGAATCTGAGGGTGCAAGAAAATCTAAATATTGAGAAAATCATCTTTAAAGTTGTCCAAATGAAGCTCTTAGAAATGCATATTACTAATCAAAAATTAAGTTTTGATATATTTACGGTAGGAAACTTACAAAATATCTTCATGGAACATGATCTTTACTTAATATCCTAATGACTCGTTCATGTGTTACTTTTGTGTAAATGCTTCCAAATTCTAGTGACCTGCTTACCTAGGCATCCTGATTCTAAAATAGCTTGTTTTGGCACTAAAATACCTCGTTTGATACCGTCTAGCTAATGAGAAACACACTCACGTGAAATCTGAAATCTCCTTTGAGCATTGAGCTGAGGTCTTCTGCCACGTCAGACATACACGGGTGCAGAGTGGCCACCAGACGAGCGTAGAACGGCAACAGATCCAGCCTGACACACAGAAATATTAAATCATTAATGCACAGACACACTTCAAATCTGAATGAACACTTGATACGATCACATGACGACAGCGCCATCTAGTGTTCACAGAGGCTATGAATGCACACGCACCTCTGTCTGGGCACCGTGAAAAGAGCTCGAACCAACTTCCTGCGGTTGGACTTGGTGTTCATGTTCATGCAGAAATCCATAGCAGCCTGAAAACACACAGGAACAAGTTTGAACACAAAACAGACACGAGAGTAACAACCCAGCAGCCCTGTACGATCAAGTGCATGAAAAAAATCAATCACAGATATGTGTGACCCTGGAGCACAACACCAGTCATAAGGGTACATTTTTCGAAATTGAGATTTATGCATCATCTGAAAGCCGAGCATATTTGGCCGAGATACAACTATTTGAAAATCTGGAATCTGAGGGTGCAAAAAAATCTAAATATTGAGAAAATCAGCTTTAAAGTTGTCCAAATGAAGTTCTTAGCAATGCATATTACTAATCAAACATTAAGTTTTAATATATTTACGGTAGGAGATTTACAAAATATCTTCATGGAACATGATCTTTACTTAATATCCTAATGATTTTTGGCATAAAAGAGAAATGTATAATTTTGACCCATACAATGTATTGTTGGCTATTGCTACAAATATACCCCAGCGACTTAACACTGCTTTTGTGCTCCAGGCTCACAAATGCTAGCGGGAAATGCTGGTATCGTCACATTTTTAAAATTTCAGTACCGACGTCGTTACTTCTGACAACGCTAGCGTTTATTTCGTTAACGAAAACTATGACGAAAAATGTTCGTCAACGAGATTTTACCCCTGACGAAAACGAGACGATAATAAAGTCATTAAACGATAACTGAGACTAAATTTTTCATAGTTTTCATAACGTAGACAGTGCGAGTGTATATCTGAAGTCTTTGGTGTTTATTTAGCCTCTAACTTATATCCTGTTATAAATCTGTACACTAACGTTAGCTGAGGTGAAATAAACCATGCATACGAGTCGATATTCTATTGATTTGGGTTTATTGGTGCTTAACTTCTGATGAAATGTAAAAATAAATTTCCCAAATGACAACAATCATTGCAATTAAAATTGAGCAAAATAATATATTTTTTTCATCATTTTTCATACAGTAAGATGAAAATATGACTAAAACTAGACTAAAATTCTCAGACATATACCCCCGGTTTCACAGACCAGGCTTAAGCCTAGTCCTAGACTAAAATGTAAGTCTGAGCCGTTTCAACTGTTCAAACTTGCACTGACTTAACTTAAAACATGTCAGTGTCTTTGTTTTGTCTTAAGATGCACACCAGTAATGCTTTTTTCTAAGGCATGTTTATAAAAATTACTTAAATGACCTAATTGAACTATGGCCTAATTCTGGCTTAGGCTAAGCCCTGTCTATGAAACCGGGTCTTGGTCGACTAAAACTAAAACAGGACAAGTTGACTAAATATGATAAAAACTAAAAGTCACATTTGACACAGGACTAAGACTAAATTAAAAATAGCTGACACAATTAACACTAGACAACACTAACACTGAGCGGTTTCGATGTGTGGGTTTCTTCCATCAGGTCAACGATACTTGCTTAAGTATGTTTGTGTGTTTGAACTCTTGACCTTGTCAATCAGGTCTCTGTTGATGCAGTTTGGGAGCTGCTGGATGAAAGCGTCCACGATGAGTTTGAGATGAGAGCCGGTGCTGGCCTCCTCATCCTCCTGCTCTGTACACACACACACACACACACACACACACACGCGCACACGCGCACACGCGCACACACACACACGCACACACACGAAAACGAACGACACGACAATTCAAACATTGACTTATGATAACGAGTTTGCACATATAAATAATTACTGTCACTGGGGGGAAAAAAAGCTAAATACAGATAAAGTCGGGCTGCTGGAAAGGTCCTGCACTTGCCCTTCACTGAGGTTGTGATCAGTGTGTTTTACTCAGTAAGCATGTCTACCTTGCTCATCCAGTAACTTTTTGGCCAGTTCTTCAGTTTCGGCCTCGTCGGCTACGTCCAGATCTATCGGCTCATCAGTGATGTCCAGCGCTTCCAACTCCATCTCCAACTCCTCAGTGCTGTTTCCCTCTCGTCCCTCTGCACACAAACAACACAGACCACTGCATAATGGAGAAAAACAACTATACAGACATATCGTCCCCTTGGTTCTATCTGCATTACGAGTAGTTTTCAGATTTTGAGCTTCAAAGTTTTTGCATTCCATTCGACTGTGCAGATCTTTTTGTTTTTTAAATAAAAAGTCCCAAAATGTACACAACATTAAAAAAATCTATCACATAATGCAAATAAGTTGTCACAAACGAACGACATGACAATTCAAACATTGACTTATGATAACGAGTTTGCACATATAAATAATTACCGTCACTGGGGGAAAAAAAAGCTAAATACAGATAAAGTCGGGCTGCTGGAAAGGTCCTGCACTTGCCCTTCACTGAGGTTGTGATCAGTGTGTTTTACTCGGAAAGCATGTTTACCTTGCTCATCCAGTAACTTTTTGGCCAGTTCTTCAGTTTCGGCCTCGTCGGCTACGTCCAGATCTATCGGCTCATCAGTGG